GTGTGCAGGAGGCAGCTGATCGATGTTTCTCTCTCATCAATGTTTCTAACTCTCTATCCCTCTCCCTTCCTCTCTGTAAAAAATCAATAAAATATATTTTTAAAAAAATCAATGGAGAAATATCCTCAGGTGAGGATTAAATAAATAAATAAAAGGTTTACTGCGCAAAAAAAATTCTCTGCAATTTAAAGAGCACCCACCCTAGCCCATTTGGCTCAATGGATAAAGTGTTGGTCGGCCTGCGGACTGAAGGGTCCCAAGTTCGATTCCGGTCAAGGGCACATGCCCAGGTTGCGGGCTCAATCCCCAGTAGGGGACGTGCAGGAGGCAGCCGATCCATGATTCTCTCTCATCATGGATGTTTCTATCTCTCTCTCTCCCTCTCCCTCCCTCTCTGAAATCAATAAAAATATATTTTAAAATAATAATAAATAATGAGCACCCAGATTGCTCAATCCCATTTGGTTCCACTGGAGCCAAACCTAGTCACTCGGCCACTCCCTGGACAGGAACCTCAGGGTCAACACGCCTAGCCCCTGAGAACCTGAAGTCCCGGTTCCTCCCTTCCCTTCAAGGACAGCCTTAGTAATACACCCGTCCCAACCGAATTTGCGATCCTTCCTCACTCAGCTCCCAGGGAGCTCCTGCCCCCTGCTGTCCACAGGGGACCTTGCAAGGAGCCGGCAAGCCCGGGTGCTGCTGCTACACTGGAGGAACTTTTCTACCAAAAGGGTCTAAAAATGACCTCGGCCAGAGAGGCCGAAGGACCCATCCCCACAGGGAGCAGGGGGCTCCCGGCGTACCCTGGGCCAGGATGTCCGACTGCACGTCTCCATCATAGTTCTTGCAGGCCCACACAAAGCCGCCTGAAGACTTGAGGACCTGAGCCACCATGTCATCAATGAGCCGGTGCTCGTACCAGATCTTATTCTTCTCGAACTCGGTCTTATAATGCCTGGAAGCAAAGGGGCCTGTTGTGGGGAGGAAGGCGGGAGGCTGGCAGATTGGGGGATCCCTTCCTGAGCCAAATGCATGGGGACAGCGCCCTTCCGGGGGAGGATGAGGGCCCGGGTGGGGGGGACCAGGAGGGAGGGCTGGGGCATCTTATCAAGGGAGCGGCTGTTACTTCTCATAGATCTCCTGGAAGATGTCCTTGAAGCGCCCGTCGTAGGCTTTCAGAATGGTGTTCTTTGTGCTCATGTACAGCGGCCACTTCTTCTGGATGGCGTACTGGAAGCAGCTGTGCGCAAAGCCCGAGATGGACTGCAGGGAGAGAGACGGGTTGCTGGCATGGTCCCCCAGGGCCAGGCCCCGCCCGGGGAAGGCACCCCTTCCCTCCACACGACCCTCTCCTGCAATCTGGGCTCATCCAGCCACCTTCTGCTGGCCCAGCTTCCCCCTCCCAACTTCTGGGAGGACACAGTCCCCCAGCTTTGCTTTGCAAAGCTACCTCCCCCTCTGCAACTCTTAGACCAGGGGTCCTCAAACTTTTTAAACAGGGGGCCAGTTCACTGTCCTTCAGACCGTTGGAGGGCCGGACTATAGTTTAAAAAAAAAAACTATGAACAAATTCCTATGCACACTGCACATATCTTATTTTGAAGTAAAAAAACAAAACGGGAACAAATACAATATTTGTATTTGCATGTGGCCCGCGGGCCGTAGTTTGAGGACCCCTGTCTTAGACCATATGGCTGGGCTGGGATCTGTCTCTAGACTCTGTGTGTCTGGCTTATCCAATCAGAGCGCCTCCTCTCTCTCGGGGCCTCTGTGATTGGCTCAGAGGTGGTCATGTGATTCAGGCTAGAACTTTGGCGGGAACCAGTCAGGCTGGCAGAGATAAGCCTGGAGCAGAGAGCTGGCCTCACCTCGTCGGTGTTGTACATGCCCATGCCCACGCCGCCAGCAGGGAAGTTGAACACCTCCCACTCCTTGGCACTGCTGCCATCCTTTGGGGTGAACACCATCTTGAAGGTGCCGGCCCGGTCGGCCACAAAGTCCGTGGCCTTGTACTGCAGGGACGAGAGGGTGGCTCAAGCCGGGGGCTCCGGACGGAGGGGGTCCCGGGCCAGCAGAGCCCAACTCCCGCCTCGGCCCACCTGGTCGCCATGGGCGTGCCTGCCAATGGTGATGGGCATGGTCCAGCCAGGGACAAGGCGGGGGATGTTCTTGCAGATAATGGGCTCCCGGAAGACGGTCCCGCCCAGGATGTTCCGGATGGTTCCGTTGGGACTCTTCCACATCTTCTTCAGCTTGAACTCTAGGAGAGCAGAGATGAAGTGGCCCCACCATAGCCCCCCCCCTCCAGCCAGAATCTGAACCCCGAGCAAGAGCGCAGGCAGGTGAGGGTCCTACAAGTGATCCCGGGGAAGAGTCTAAAGCAGTGGTTCTCAACCTTGGCTGCACATTCGAATCACCTGGGAATCTTTTTAAAATCCTGATTTCTGGGCCTCATCCTCTGGAAATTCTGTGTCTTTGTTATGGGGTGGGGCCACAACATTAGTAACGAAACAAAATAATTTCCGGTGGGGCCACAACATTAGTAACAAAGAAACAAAATTTCCGGAGGACGAGGCCCAGAAATCAGGATTTTAAAAAGATTCCCAGGTGATTCTAATGTGCAGCCAAGGTTGAGAACCACTGCTCTAGAGTGTGAATGTGTGGGCCCCAGAACCACACTGCCTGGCTTCAGGTCCACTCCACAACCTCTGACCGTGAGCCTGTGGACTGAAGGGTCCCGGGTTCTATTCGGGTCAAGGGCACATGCCTGGGTTGCAGGCTCGATCCCCAGTGTGGGGCCTGTAGGAGGCAGCTGATCAATGATTCTCTCTCATCACTGATGTTTCTATCTCCCTCTCCTTTCCTCTCTGAAATAAAAATGTATTTTAAAAAAGAAAAGAAAGTAGTGATAAAACACCTAATCTTTTGGATCGCTGTGAGGATTAAATGAACTCATACACGAAGTGCCTAGAACAGTGCCTGGCACGTGGTCTGACTATTGTTACTCCCACATGGTACTGGGACGTGTAGCTCAGCCCGATGAACCCTGGCAGCACACGGCCTCACCCCGGGTGCTCTGGTTCTGGCCCCAGGACTGCCACTAATCGCAGGGCCGGGCCTGAGTTATTAAGACTGTGACCTTCAACATCCTTATCCAGAAAATGGGGATATATACATCCCAGGGCTCGGGAGAATAAAAAGGAAAACTTGTGAGAGAAGAGCTTAGCACGAAAATGATTCCAATACCCTAAGGTCAGTACAACCCAAAAGACAGGAGGAGGCCTGGGGGGGCGGGAAGGGGCGGGGCAGTCTTGAATGCTCCCTTCTAGGGCCCTGATTCTGTCGGAATTAGGGGACAGAACTCTGCAAACTCCTACACCACCGTTCCTTGGCCTTTCCAAACCTGGCCCCTCTATCCACACACCATTGTCATTTCATGGAAGCCTCCAGAGCAGCCCTCAGGACCAGGGACAGCAGCCAGTCCAGCCTGGTGGGGGGCACCTCGCTGAGACCCCTATATGGGCACAGGGGCAGGGGTGGACCTGCGATGCCAAGACCGTGGCAGGACGCTAGTAACGTTCCTCGGAGCCCCCAAGGCTCTGAAGAATACAGGCTTGGCTCACAGTCCTCCTCTGGACAGAGGTGGCCCAGGTCTCTCTGTCCACCTGCCTGCAAAACAGTCCAGGAGGCCAGAGGGGCAGCTACCCCAAGCGCCATTCTCACTGTGACAGCATCAGCGTCAGCTTCCTCCTCCTCCTCCCTGTCACCGATGGCACCTCCACTGGCCAGAGCCTCACATCACAACAGAAACCCCACTGGCCCAGGAGCAGGGAATGGATTCTGGTCTCTGCTCGATCACACCCCGACCGTGGAAGATGAAGCCAGCCCCTTAACCGCCCCTCCCCAGCCCCATCTACAGGGACCACTGTCCCCCAGGCATTCGCGGGGAGACTGGGGTCACGTCCCGGCCCACCCACCCCTCAGGCCCCCGCACCTTCCACACGGGCCTCGTCGGGAGTGATGGTGGCGCACTTGACAGCCACGCTGTACTTCTGGGTGGCCAGCGCGGAGTCGATGGTGACCTGGTCGTCGGTCTTGTCACGGTTTGGGAGCCCCAGGTCGAAATACTTGAGCTGGACGTCCACGTGGGGCAGGATGAGCTAGAGACAGAGGCCAGGGCAAGGCGTCAGCCCAGATACGATGTCTCAGGGGCATGTGCAGGCTGCGGCAGGGGACACTCAGTCAGGGCAGGGACGAGGGAAGGCCAGCGGAGGGAGGGGCAACGCAGTAGAGGGCAAGAGTCAGCCATTCCTCGGTGGGGCCCGGCCAAAGCTGGCTGGAGGCCGGGGCTCCGGAGAGAGGCCGGCAGCCCCGCAGAGGGCTCATCCCCTAGCATGGACCATATGCCCCGGCCATGGCCCATCAACTCAGCCAAACCCCAAACTCCAAGTGCATCGCTATTCTCTAAACCAGGGGTGGGGCCCAGTGGTTGAGCGTCGACCTAGGAACTAGGTGGCCAGGTTCGATTCCCAGGCAGGGCACATGCCCAGATTGTGGGCTCGATGCCCAGTGTGGGGCGTGCAGGAGGCAACCGATCAATGAGTCTCTCACCATTGATGTTTCTATCGCTCCCTCTCCCTTCCTCTCTGAAATCAACAAAATATATTTGAAATAAATAAATAAATAAATAAGCGAGGGATGGGGAACATCTGGCCTGCAGGCTGTATAAGGCCCACGGAATCATTTGGTCTGGTTCTGCCAAGACATTAGGGGGTGAGTTAATTGAATGTTTGACCGGCCCTGGCCGGCTTGACTCAGTGGAGAGAGCATCGGCCTGTGGACTGAAGGGTCCCAGGTTCGATTCCGGCCAAGGGCACATGCCTGGGTTGCGGGCTCGATCCCCAGTGGGGGGTGTGCAGGAGGCAGCCGATCAATGATTCTCTCTCATCAGTGATGTTTCTATCTATCTATCCTTCTCTCTTCCTCCCTGAAATCGATAAAGAAATATTTTTTAAAAAAATAAATAAATGTTTGACCAAACATAGCAGGATAATTTTTAAGTTGATCATTTTGTATGGCCCATGAATGATGTTAAAAACATCCAAATGCCGAAGCCGGTTTGGCTCAGTGGATAGAGCGTCGGCCTGTGGACTGAAGGGTCCCAGGTTCGATTCCGGTCAAGGGCATGTACCTG